ACTTTTTTGTGTGTAAAACTATTTCAATCAATTTTGAATATCTTCACATGTACCTGTTCAACAATCGGAATGATTAAAGATATTGTAATAAAGCTATTAATTCAATTTCGTAATAATTCGTATTATGTCTAAGGAAATTAGATTTACTCATAAAATAATGTTTTTATTTAATTTGATTTTAAGATTGCACAAGGGAAAGTAATTCTTCTTTCAAATATCCTATAGAATCATTTAGCTTTGCATTATTTGTAGGAACAAACATTAAAGTAACAGAGGGAAACAATTCCAGTTCCAATAAAGTCTTATCGAAGCATGTTTCGTCAAATGTTTTGCCAGTCATCATTTTCAAACAAAATGGTATCTCATTATTTGCTATGCTTTCACTAACAAAATCAAATACAGTTTTAAACTTTTCATATACGAAAAATGTTCCCTGTAAAATAATATTATCTGGAAATTTGATGCGAAGCAACGAGTATTTATACATTCGAAGACGCTGTTTCCCTTCCCTTTCTCTCATAGCCTTTGTCATTAGCATTTGGCTTCTTTCAAATGCTTCAGTTCTATTAATATTAATAGAAAAATGATTTATTTATACATTTCATTAAATAATATCTTATAGTTCAGAACTTTGTTTATAATTACCGCAGTTGTTGTTCCCGTTTTAATTCCTCTGGAGTAATATGAAAAAAACTTGTTGGCAATTCGTATTTCTGACTTGCTTGCACAGGCATCAATACTTGGAGATTTCTATCTAGCTCGAGTGGAATAGTTTCTGCAGATTTTAATGAATCTAATAACATAGTAAGGTTTTCGATGTCACAATTCTCTGGACTCCATAACAAGAAGTCCTCCTCTACGTCATTATGCAATAACGTCGTCTCCCGAAAGCCAGCAGCATGTAAGAAGTCCATTGCGCCATCTATAGGACGTACTTTCTCCTTTAAAATTAATTAAGTATTAATATTTTTTAAAAAACTATCGAATGTACTATTGCTGAAGATTTTTATTAAAGTTTCTTTACGTTTGTATATAAAGATGATACTTACTTGGAATATTTTATTCTGCATTCTGATTCGTCTATATTTTTCTATTTCTGGATTATTTATGATGTTTTCCAAATATTTTGACAGTGTCTCCACGCAATTTTCAATTTTTTCCTTTCTAGGATTGCAATTCTGTATAACTAAACATGCTGTGAGACCAGCTTCTTCTCCTTTTAGTTGCTCATACAAAAACGTTCTTATCTTTATCTTCCATTCGTCTTTTGGTAATATTTCATTAGATAAGTACGGACAACGAAAATATACATCGGCAACAGCTAGAGATGATTCATCCTTTACTGATTCCTCAGATCTTTGTTGCGTTTTCTTATCATTCTGTTGTACAATTTGTTGTGCTCTTTTTTCTTGTTCCAATTCACGTTGTACTTGCGCTCTAATAGCTGCATATGGTCTAGGGAAAAAATACTTTTATAACAGACTTGTTATATTATCTTCATTTATAAAAGTGAATATTCAAAACAAGCAAGGCATAAACATTTATTAAATATGATTTACCTGTTATATTTGGATACATTTTGTTTTGCTTCTAATCTTGCTAAAGCAGCTTGACCTGCTACTTTAGCTTCTTCTGTAGGTTCTTCTCTTTTTATTGGTTCTCTTACTGGATGTTGAACGACAGTGGTTGAATCTGATAATCTGTACATAATTTTGTTAGATGT